CTCCAGGAGAATGCTGTGGGAGACAGCGTCAAAGGTCTTACTAAAGTCCAAGTAGGCTGCATCCACAGCCTTCTCCTCATCCACTAAGCGGGTCACCTTGTCATAGAAGGAGACCAGTTAGTGAAGCAGGACCTCCCTTTCATAAACCCTTGCTGGCTGGGTCTGATCCCCCTGCTGTGCCGCACGTGCTGCGTATTTGCACTCAAGATGATCTGCTCCATGACCTTCCCTGGCACTGAGGTCAGGCTGACAGGCCTGTAGTTCCCTGGATCCTGCTTCCGACCCTTCTTGTAGATGGGTGTCGCGTTTGCTAACTTCCAGTCATCTGGGACCTCCCCGGTTGACCAGGACTGCTGATAAATGATGGAGAGTGGCTTTGCAAGCTCCTCTGCCAGCTCCCTCAGTATCCTTGGGTGGATCTCATCTGGCCCCACAGACCTCTGTAGATGGTTAACAAGACATGGCCCTAGGAGAAGGAACAGGACGGTACCATAAGCCAGACAGATTAGGAAATACCAAGATAAGCACAAAGAGAGCAAAAGCACTGATAAGACCAAAGAGAATCACTTGAACTATGAGTGAACTATCCTACTTGACATAGTAAAAAACCTGCTCTCGGGTAAGGAAAGCCCGCTACCAACAAAGCCTCTTCCTCACAGAACATGCACAGTAAAAAGGGAGGATGCTGTAACTTTAAGTGGAGATGAGACATCGTGAGAACCAATGGGAAGGAGGGTGACCAAGCATAACTGTAAAATTACTGATAACTGTTGCTCGGAATGCATGAATGTTTACCGTGTGTTAGCCAAGGTGTGCTAGCTTTGTGGAGTTACCACCTAGCACCCATCTCTGCGCAGACATGAAATAAATATCTCAACTCTGTGTGTTATTTGGCTCTTTGCACACCGGGTAAAGAACCCCAATTTGGGGGCAACAGTGGCACTGTCAGCTGGTGCATTTGGAATGCTCTTGGGAATCCAGTTTATTTTATTGTATTTTGTTAATGACGGTATTCCACAGCACTGGTTCAAAACAAAACACCGTAAAAAAAAAAAATGGAGACAAATGAGGGCTATGATACACATGTCTATACATGTATGTGCATTTAATATCATCCTTATTCCACTAAGGTTCAAGAAGCAGTTGCTAACGGGCCTGGCACTGGAATAGACTTCCACAAAGGAGGGAGAAAAGAACAGGAAAGGATTTCCAAATTTTTATTTGATGTTGTTGAACTTTCCTGTTTCTTTGGCCAGTGATAAGACAGAAGTGAATTTCACCATTAAAATTCAATTCCTTTTGTAAGGATGTTCTTGCCCCACAAGCTGAAAGAATCAATCTAAAGTCATAGATACTTAGAGCAAGTTTATTCGACCATCATCTCATAGACATGTACTATTTTCAAGAGACTGAAGGAGGCTGTTCACCATAAGGACTACAGCACTGAATTGAAATGTTGCAAATCAGAGTTCAAGTCCCTCTCTGCCTTTTTTTAGGATGACCTAGGGGTGGGGGGATGCAAATAAAACTGTGTTCCAGTGTCATGGACTGGATCTTCCTGTTCCAAACCACTGCCTTCTGCCAGGGTTTGCACATGCTTGGATTCAAAACAAAGTATTTCGACATGATTCTGTTTCTATGAAAATGTTTCAAAGGTTTTGCTCTCGTTCTGCATGGGAATGAAAACAAAATTTGAAAGTTCTGCAAGTCCAAGTTGTTGCAAATCAGAGTTCAAGTCCCTCTCTGCCTTTTTTAGGATGACCTAGGGGTGGGGGGATGCAAATAAAACTGTGTTCCAGTGTCATGGACTGGATCTTCCTGTTCCAAACCACTTGGCTTTCAGCATCCTCTGGCCCTGTGATGTGCTATAAATGTTTTAACAGTGGCTTTCACCTCTCCCGTGTGTTTCATCCTTTCCCTGTTTCTAAATATGTGTGGTGGTGACTGACAGAGAGAGGTGTGGTGCTAAAAAAATATACATTTCTTAATTTAAAACAAAACCACCTCTTGCGTCTATAGCCCTAGAAGGGAGGTGGCTTCCCCAGGAAAACAGAAATTGATACTGAGTTTGATTACAGGAAATTATTATTCTTCCTTGTGGGGAAACTGTGCTAAGAATTTTGATAAGATAACAGTCTTCAGCTGTTATAAACAACAGGGAGGGAGGTGAAGGATGGAGAACCTTATACTGCGCTTCAGGCTATCTGCTTCCCCTGATGCCTGACATTTGGTGCAATCTGGTGCATTCAAACAGCAAAATACTTTTTCTTCAGAAGCATTTTTAAGACATGAGGTTGAAGTCATTTTGGCAGGGCTGGTTTGGCAGCCAGAAAGGACGTGACCTCCACTGTGGGCTGGGTAACAGTGCCAGCACCAGCTTTATCTTGGTGGGAGACTTTTAACTGGTCCTTCCTGAAAACCCCTGGCCTGTTCTCCCAGGGAAGTTGGACAGAGAGAGAGCCATCAGCTAAAGTGTGACTTGCTTCAGGTGGGGACAAGGAGGCTTTTGGCAAAGGGAAGGTATAGGCACCATTGATTTACTCACATTTTCAATTTGAACTGAAGGAATATCTGCGTGTTTCAGCTAATAAACCAGAAAATCCAAGCGAGTAAGCAGCTGCAATCCAGCCAGAAATTTGTTGCTGTCTTGGAGTACATTTTAGCCATTGGGAACCATTTAAACGAAAAGGCTGGAAAAGAGAAGGCTAAAGGATTTCGATTGTCATCTTTGACCAAAGTGAGTAAATATGTTTCTTGTCATTAAAATCATCATATTCTAAGGTACGTTAGCCATTAATATTAACTCAGTCTTGCCCTGAATCTGGAGAAAGGCAATCATTTTTAATGAGTAGCTAACGTTTTAACATCCGCTCTTGGTTACACTAGAAACAAAATCCTGTTTTACAGTGTATTCTTTAATGTGTGTTATAACAAGATGCATTTCCCCGTTTTCGACAGCAGCAGTGGCTAGATAGGGGCATTGGGGTGTTGAACACACTGCATTTCTAATGAGGCAGAACATCAAAATGCTGACTGCCCTGACATTAAGATCCCCTGGCTAGAAGACGCATCTGAGCTGCAGGCCCCTGGTTAGATGCAAGTTTAGATAAACTGTATTTTGCAGTTTTGTGCAGAGCACTGTTGTATGGATCCTCTTCATTTCACTGTGGTCAGAGGCTGTAACTATGGCATTTCTTCCGTGGTAGTTGCACTTTTATGGCACTGAAGTGATTTCTTAGCACTTCATTTTACTCCAATGTGAAGGTCTTTTGCAACAAGTGGTACAATGCCATTTTAAGATAAAATGTCAAAAATAGAATGTAAATAAATTAATAAATTCAAAGGGGGTGAAATTTGCCTGCAACGGTTTTAAGCCCCCAATCATTGCTCTGCTGGATGATTGAATAGAGGATGAAGGTGGCAGTTGTGATCTTTACTCTTTCCTGATAGAGATCTGCTCCACAAGAAGCATCATCTAGCTCTTAGTTCTTTAATTGTCTCTTCGTTGACCTACCGCTTGTGTGACATTAGGCTGAGTTTTCCATTAGTTCCAAGGAAACTGCTTTCCCCTCTTCACCAGAATTTGCCATCAGAAAATGCTGCTACTGAGCACTGGGGTTTTTTCCCCTCCTCCACCCAACAGTGGCAGAGCATCATACTCTTATCCTAAAAAGTAAGAAATAGCTACAAATTTCCTAAGCTGCCTTGTACCTTTAACACTATTGTAAGATTATGCCTGATCTGTGAATAGAAGAGAGAAGAATTTTTATTTTGTTTTTGTAAGGTATCTTTCCCATCTGGAGACTTTAATATATGAGTGAGTGATTTATAACTCTAGTGACAATTCTGAGACACAACTTGCATTCTTTTTTTATATATATATAATGGCCGTAATACCACATCTATCATAATGAAAAATGCCTACAAAATCATTTTCTGCCACAGAGCATCTTCCCAGATTCAATTAAGGAACTTCACTATCTTCGTGAACACAGCATACCGCTTTTAAGTGGAAAGGAATAATGACTGTGTTTGGAGGTCCAAAATCAGTTGCAATCAATTAGGATACCTTAAGTTAAAAAAGACCCCTGTGAATAAAAAGACACAAAAGAACAAAGAAGGTCAACAGATACGAAAGTGTAAAGCTGATCTTAATCAAGAATGTCTGTGGAATGGCAGATTGAAAAAGAGAAGTTTAATTTCATTGTGCTTTCTATTCTTGTCAAATTTACCTGGGAGCTATCAACATCCCTGCTGTTTCTTTTCTTTTTTTTTTTTTTTTTTTTTTTTTTTTAAAGTTAAAATATGTCTCTTTGAAATTATTGCTCCATTCTATTTGCAGTTACTGTTTTTTTTTTTTTTTTTTTTTTTTTTTTTTTTTTTAAAGTATAATAGCTCAGTCTGTCAATTATTGCTCCATTCTATTTGCAGTTACCTCTGTTGCGGGGTAAGGAGAGGACGTTCACCTTGCTTCACGCCCTTGTGGAACAGATCTTCTTACATGAGCCTGATTTGGCTAAATTTTCTCAGGAGTTGACAGAATTTGAAGCTGTTCCTGATGGTAAAAGGAGGGAGGGGAAAAAAAATAATCAACAAATAAAAAAATGAAACCCTTCAACTTTTGTGGAAATTCCCATCTTCACAATATGAATGATACTTATTAACATTTTTTTCTCCCTCTCTCTTCCTTTCCAGCTTCCATGAAGGGCCTCAGTGCTGAAGTTGATGGTATGTAAATGTGGTTTCTAAATTCAGAGAAAGATTTTCATATGTTGTGCAGTCATTTGGAACAGGTTTTCATTGCACTTCTGTAGTTTGTAAAGAGAGGTAAAGGTTCAAAACATTGAGGTAAAGTGTTGCTATGGTGATACTTAACCTGCCATGTTACTGTGAAGAATTTCTAAAAAAGAAATATTAAAGTGGGTCCAGGTGGTTTAGAAATATAAAAAATATACTGCCCATGGTAAATAGAGCTTATCATAAACTACAAATATTAAGTGATACAAGTGCTCCGTCAAAGTTACGGCTGTAGCGGAGCCTCTGGGAGCAGGAAATGCAGCAGGAGAAAACTTCCTACAGTTCAGTCTAGAAGTTCAAGAATGTCTTTGGACCAAACTGGTGTCCTTCTCTAGAAAAGAGTCCCAAACTAGCGAAGTCGACAGGAGGGAACAGAATAAGGTTGTTCAAATGTGTCGTGGTTTAACCTCAGTTGGCAACTAAGCACCACACAGCCGCTCGCTCACCCCCCCCGCCCTCCGCCCCCAGTGGGATGGGGGAGAGAATCAGAAAAAAAAGCATAAAACCCATGGCCTGAGATAAAGACAGTTTAATAGGACAGCAGAGGAAGAGGAAATAATAATAATAGTAATAAAAGAACATACAAAGCAAGTGATGCACAATATAAGTGCTCATCAGCTGCCGACCGATGCCCAGCCCGTCCCCGAGCAGCGATCGCTGCTCCCCAGCCAGCTCCCCCAGTTTATATACTGAGCATGATGCCATATGGTATGGAACAGCCCTTTGGCCAGTCTGGGTCAGCTGTCCTGGCTGTGCCCCCTCCCAGCTTCTTGTGCAGAGCACGGGAAGCTGAAAAGTCCTTGACTTACTGTAAGCACTACTTAGCAACAACTAAAACATCAGTGTGTTATCAACATTATTCTCATCCTAAATGCAGAACACAGCACTATACCAGCTACTAGGAAGAAAATTAACTCTGTCCCAGCTGAAACCAGGACAAAATGTAAGATAGACTTTGGGAGACGTTTATAACTTACCATTGAACAGTATCACAAGGTGACTAGTGAAGTCAACGGATTTTAGACTGAACCCTTTGAGAGCTGATAGAGAAGGTGTATGAGTGGATGAAGATGACTTGTATTGTGTTGAAAGCTTATAAAATATCTGTCTTTTGAAAATGTGGCATGGGTGTTGACTGTAATTACAGACCACTATATCCCACTTCAGCCTTTGATAACATACCCGAATGATAGTTACTCTTAGCTTTCGGTTTGAAAAACCCTTGCGCCTATTCTGCTGGGCTTTGGGAGTCAGCCAAGCATGTAGCTTGAGGCTAAATTCCAATCAGCTTCTTAGGAGACACACGTAACTAAAAATAACACTATTTACCTTTAGTCACTTGTGTTCTTTGGGGACAATGTTGGTAGCAATTCAAAATCACTAAATATTTTGAAGACAGTTTTGGAAAGTCATGGATAAAGTGGTACAATAGACATGGAACCAGAAACTGTTGGGAGCTATCGAAGGAGGTGACTTATGGGAACTGGAGGAGATTGGCCTCTTCCCTCCATGGATTCCTGATGGGCCCAGCGTAGATCACTCTTATCTTCTGAGTCCCATTCTCCAGGGCAGAGAGGGAAAG